GCAAAGAAGAAATAAATGGAATGTGATTTACAATAAAATATGGATTTCTATTTGTAAAAGCTCAAGCACATCTATACCAAACATTTACACCACTACTGTGCCTGCAGCCAGGTAGAAATCACTGTGGAGGGGAAGTTCAAATGCAGGCTGACACAGATGGCTTACAATATTGGCAACTCAGCTACAGAACCTCCAGCAGCATTACTATTGGTACAACATTTCTGAAAGAACAAAAAACTCTTGGTAAAATGCCAAATGAGACAAGCAACAATCTTCCCTCAATTTAAATGGTGGTTACATTCCTGGAAAATTCAAGAACTACTCTGTACTTATTCTAACACAGTAACAGGTGTTATGTGCAGATAATTATAAATAGGTTTTTCAACTACATAAATGTCCCATGGATCTTTTGAAAGTCACAGCAGTTCATCATTTTTTTCTGTACATGTTGCAGGATGTCAGGATGTTTGGCATCTCTGGCCCACGCCCATCTCAATCATCGTGACAACCAATAATGTCCCCTCGTTTCAAAAATATTCCCTTAGTGTTCCCTAAAGGGGAGTACCACTTTGGTTGAGAACCAGTATGGCACAAGGAAATAAAAGAGGCAACTTATGGTTAACTTTTGGGTTATGGGTATTGGTCCAGCCCTACCCCCACTACCTGCCAGAACCAATCCTGCCTGGAGGCAGAGACCTGGGGACTAGGTAACATGGGACCACAGTAGGCAAGTCAAGCTAGGAATATACATCTTCTGAACTGGTGTTATTGAATGCAGTCTTTTTTTTTTTTTTAATATATTTTATTGATTTTTTAAAATGTATTTTATTGATTTTTTACAGAGAGGAGGAGAGAGGGATAGAGAGCTAGAAACGTCGATGAGAGAGAAACACGACCAGCTGCCTCTTTGCACACCCCCTGCCGGGGATGTGCCCGCAACCAAGGTACATGCCCTTGACTGGAATCAAACCTGGGACCTTTCAGTCTGCAGACCGACGCTCTACCACTGAGCCAACCCGGTTTCGGCTGAATGCCAGTCTTGACATTGACCTTAAGCCTCAGTGCAAAAAGGCCTCCTTTGTTTGCTTAGACTTCAGAGGCCTCAAGGTGTTTGAAGTTTGGTACTGACTAGCAGCTGTGGGCCTGCCTTTCTCTCTGTGTGTTCATGTGTGTCGCTAAGAGTGCAGCTGTGATTACAGGGACAGGAGTGAGCCAGTGCACAGCCACAGAGAAGCATCCTGACTAATCCTATTGTTCATTTCTCTGCCCCTGTTCCTGGACCATTGAACATTCACATGAACCAACAAGTTGGTCCCACCAGAAAGCAATGATCTCTAACTATAACTGGGATCCAAACAATGCACTTAAACCTTTGCTCTGGAGAAACCAAGATGGTGGCATAAGGTAAATACCTAAATGCAGCCTACCACAACAATTTTAAAATACATAATCTGTGCTTCTCAAATGTTTGCTCTGTACCACTTCACACTTATAATAGACCTACATGAGTAATTGTTCTTCCTAACTGAAAGAAGTCTGAAGAGAATTTTCACTTTTATGGAAAAACAGTGAAAATAGCCCTCAGTGCTCGTTCTGCAGTGAGCCATTGGCACCCTCACCACCAAGCTCCTTCCCTGGGAACTACACTCAGTGTCAAGCTGCCATCGTTTTTGAACTGTCTGTTTTGAATTGAACTTGCTCAATAGGCAGCGAGAACCATCTTCTCTCTTCAAAGACATAGGGGACTTGTTCAGCAGGAGAAAGAGGTCTAAAAGCCAGCTCTAAAAGGAGTACATTGAGTGTGTCTCCAATTGCTGCTCCTCTCAACTCTGCTATAATCAGAACATGCCAAAGAAGCAAACTATATGTGCATGTGACAAGTGATTGTAAGCTGAAGCACAAGATAACCTAACTGCCTAAAAAAAAAGTATCTTAAAAAGGTAATTCATTTGATTTGTACACGTTGTGCTCTGAAGGTCCAAAAGAAACATTGCTTAGCAAATCAATATGTTCTTCTGTCTGATACAGATGAGACTGAAAATCAATTTGCATTCTTCTTGAAATAAGATTTAAGACTTAAACTGAGTCTAAGTTAGGAATGAGGGGGGAGGTAACAGAAAGGCAGGGGCACTTCCTTCTCTTATTCAACTTTTTTATAATAAAAATGTATTCCTTTTAGTGATCAACAAGAGTGAGTACACATTTTTAATGTATATTTATATAACTTCTTTATACATTTTGGATATTAATCTTTATCAGATGTATAATTGGCAAATATGTTCTCCCATTCAATGGGTTGTCTTCAGTTTTGTTGATGCTTTTCTTTGTGCAAAAACTTTTTACTTTGATGTAGGCCCATTGGTTTATTTTCTTTCCCTTGCTGAAGGAGATATATCAGAAATAAAGATTGCTATGAGAGAAAAACAAAACAAACAAACAAAAAACCCTTTGCTCCGCCCTGCTGTCACCCAGGCATGCTTCCAGCTATGCTTATTCTCAACCTTCCATTCTCTTCAAGCAGTCTAATTCTGCCTTGTGGTTATGCTCTGTAGAAGACTTTTGTATCTTTTACCACCATCATTGTCCTGAAGGACTTCTCGCCTTCTCCCCTCTCAAATTTTCTTTTCCTCTTGCACAAGAGGAAGCAAAGTCCTTTGTTGCCTGTACTGCCTGTTCCTCCTCCTTCCAAGGGAATCTGCTCCATAGATTAAAGAGCTTCAGTCTTTCCATTTCCTTTGCCTGAAGATGTGCATGATGGGTCAGAACCCTTCAGTTGCAAGCCATAGAGTACAACTTCAATGCACTTCAGCCAGAAAAGGGGATTTTATCCTAAGGAATCCAGGACATCTCAAAAAACCCAATGGTGGGAATGCCACAGTGTCAGGAAAGGATTTGAACATGAACTGTGAAGCCATCAGCACTCTTTCCACCCTTCTTTTCTGCTCCTCTTATTGGCTCCATTTTGTACACTCACTTCTTGTGGCTTCATATCCTCAAGGCAGAATCCCAGTTCCAGGAGCAAGAACCTTACTTGACTAGCTTGGATCAAGTTCAGTTTGCTGGCAAGTCCAGCTAAAATAACCTAACAGGGACCAGATTCACCCTGCTGCCTGACACAAGTAACTCCACAAAATATAGAAGTCCTAGGTTGTGAGCATGGATACCAGGAAGTGCAGGACAGTGATCCTCCAAAGAGGAAACCAAGGAGGTGAGCCTTATGATTGCCTCAACTTGCTGCCTGGAGAGTTTCCAGGCTGCAGCACCAGTGGGGGAACCCGAGAGGAGCCCAGTAGTCTCCCTGAGTTGAGAAAACTGAGTAAGATGCGGTGGCTAGAAGTAGCAAGACAGAATACCAGAGAGAAGACAACTGGAAAGAAGGGGGGTGGGGGAGATCTCACTGAGTCTTCAGCTGAGTACTGACCAGTACATCCCTGTAAAGAAACCACTGGAAGGCAGGAAAAGGGCCACCTAAATGGGGCTGTCACAGGGCCTGACACCGTTTGTTTCCACCAGTCAGACCACAGGGGTAAATCTAGTTATTGACAAGGTATCCAGTGGAATTCTCAGATTGTCTGGAAACATTTAGTCCTCAAGTCTGCTCTGGTCCTGCCTAACAGACCTTAAAAGTAAACCTGAGAGAATCCAGCTGTGTCCGAGTATCTTCACTGCATCCCAGAACAAATTTCAAGATTACTTACAGGAACACAAAAATACCCACCTTCCCTTCCCCCCACAGTAAAACTCAGGATGCTGGCACCCAATCAACAAAGAAGCAGAAAATGAAAGGGAAGGAACTCTGCTCAGTCTATCGGAAATGCTGTGGACATTATTGTTGCCTCTTCTCCCATCACAAGGCTATTAGTGCTTTCTTCTGCACAGACCAGACTATTTGACTTAGTACAAGGAGCCTCCATGACTATTGTTATTTTAAAAGGCTTTGTGAACAAATTAGAAAAAGGAGAATGCCAAACACGGAGGAGACTCGGGAAGTTTGTGCAGCGCTTTAAAACCGGCCTGGGCCTCTTCTTCCCTGTTTCCCTGGCTGTCCCCTCTCCACAGAGCCCTCCCTCTCTTAACCTAGTCTCTTGGCTTTCCTTGTCTTTCCAGGATGTTTAATTGAACCCAACGCATGGCTGGTTTCCGGAGAAAATTTGTTTCTTTTCTGATTTTTACATGGGCAGATTTTATTTATTTTTTATTGCCCCCCCCTTTTTTATTAAGTTTATTGGGGTGACACTGGTTAATTCAGGTGTGGGTTTCTATGTTACAAAATCTGTCTCTCGCACCGCGTGCCCACAGCCCAAAGTCAAATATTCTGTCACCTTCTATTAGGCTCCCTCTGCCCCCACCTCCTTCTCTCTGGCAGCCATACATACTGTTTGTGTCGGTGAGTTTCAGTTTTATATCCCACCTATGCGTGAAACCGTGGCATGGGCAGACTTTAATGTTTCACATGTACTCCTCACAGAAGGGGTACTTCTCCACACCCCCTCACCGGCAGGTACTTCAGTGCCTTTTGTTCTGTCCACTGCCCCTCTTTCTCTCCCCCCCACCCCCAGGGGCGATGGCCTGTGGTGGGCGAAGGCTCCTGCTGGGTTTGCCTGGGCTTGGGCAAACGGAACTGCAACTTGGGCGCATCTGTGACCTGGGCCAACATACCCTGCACCTCCACGTTCTCCTCATGTGAGGTCTTCCTGGCATGGAGTGGGGACAGGCTGTGGATGAAGTGAGGGGAAGTGGGGGGGGCGGGGGGGGATCTGGGGAGCCCGAAGGAAGCAGAGGAAGAGCTCGGGACAGGAGGCACAGGGCTGGGGCCTCACGGATGGAAGGACCAACGGCTCTGTAGCGAGAGGGAGAAGAAGCGCGAGTGCAGCGACCAGACACCATGTGCGCGGGGGGCGGAGGGAGCGCAGAGGAGGCGCGCGAAGGCTGAACCCCCGGCAGCAGCCAGACATACTCTAGACCCGGAGCGGGGCGCCGGGCGGAGAGGTCCGCGGGAGCTGGCGAGGCGGGGTGCGTGCGGTCCGAGGGCAGATCGGGGGACCTGGCGTGGCCCTGCCCGCAGCCGGCGGCGATGGGCGAGGCGAGCCCCGTGTGCTCCGGCTACTACAGCCTCAACCGCAGCTTCGTGGAGCCCTTCCAGTGCCCCCGGCGCGGGGACGCGGCCGCGCTCCGCTACTGCTGCGGCTTCGCGGACCTCAAGTACTGCTGCGGGGAGCCGGGCAGCTACTTCCCCTACAAGCACAGCTACATGTGGAGCCTCAGGTGGGCAGGGCGGCCGGCTGGCGGGCCGGGGAGGCGGCGGCGGAGGGCAGCGCCCATGGGGAGGCGGGAAGGCGCCCGCGTCCCCACGACCCGCTCCGGGCGGTCCCTCCGGGAGGATGCGGAGCCTCCTAGACCGGCGAGGGGTCTGCAGAGAACCCCCTGCGGGCTAGGAGGTGCCCCGGGAGCCCGGACTTCTCGGGCGAGGGTCGGAGCGAGGCCGCCCGAGGTGTGGATCGGCTCCGGGACCCCCGGCGGGGCGCACGCTGCCAGCCCGGCAGGCCAGGCTCCGCTCCCCGCTAGGCTCGCCCGGGCGAATGGCTCTTCCCTCTCCCCAGGGACCAGACCCAGGCGGGCGACTCTTCTGGCTGACAGGGACAAGACGCGCAGATAACTTAAGGAGGTTTTAATTCTTTTTTTATTTGGTGCATTTAAGTAGAAAGGGCCAGTTTTAAGGCATGAACTAAGGATCAGAGTATTTTAAGTCTCTTTGGAGGTAAGAAAGAATTGGCTGTAAAACTATCAGAAAGGTAGGGGTGAGCGTGTGAGAGCGCCAGCCAGCAACTGGGCTTACATTTGACACACCCTGGACCGAACTGGAGACCCACGGAGGTTCAGTTTGAGGTGCTAGGATTTCACACCCTGTAGAACCTTTCCAGGACACCCCCTTTCTAAATGGGGTGGCCATCGCTGAAGAGGCTTTCTCAGGTGGGGTCTTTCTTGATGAGAATTTTACTTATTCCAGCTAGTATTTAGGCGGCTGTTTTAAACTATGAAGCGCTTTTCCTCGCCTTCCACTCCAGAGGCTGTACACTTTGAACTTGTTTCCTTCCTTTTGTCTGGAGAATGAATGGGGTGTCAGGATTATAGGAAAGAACTCCCACCCACCTTAAATTGGGGGCAGGGAGAGAGAGAGAGAGAGAGAGAGAGAGAGAGAGAGAGAGAGAGGGAGTTAGGGAGAGGGAGAACAGGTTTACAGTTGGGGATGGAGCTGGAAGAGGGGACACCCTTGTGGTCACTGCAGAAGCTTCTGGGCCTGCAGCTTCCTCACAAAACAATTGATAGCATTTGTGGCCCAGTTTAGCCTCCTCTAGCAGGATTATCAGAGTGTTTGTGATTCCACAGCATGGATGCATGCTCTAGATTCTAGAAGATATTACCGAAGTTTTCAAAGCTGTAGTTGTATGAGAGGACCAGGAGACTTCAGATGACTATCTTCTACCTTTTGTATCACCTGGTCAGCAGGACCACTAAATTTTATGGCTAAGTGTGGGCCTGTGTATCCTTTCACAGGGATTCACTGAAATATTTTGTTTGCATTCCATGTCCGATGTGTATGGACTACCTGGGATTCATAGCATCCACCTTTGTGTCATGTCACGGGTCATGTGTCTGAGCATTTGCTCAACTTTTGTAGAAACTGTGTACATTACTCCTGCACATTTCCTTACTTCTTTTACAAAACAGAAGTAGAACTGCATGTATATCTTAGTAACAAATTAGGCATGGTTTATGCATGTATTTCAATAGTTTTAATAAATGACCTCAGTTTAGCAAAAGAGAGAGAGAGAGAGAGAGAGAGAGAGAGAGAGAGAGAGCGCTCTGTAGTTGATAAAAGTTTCTGTGATAAAAAAAAAATCTCAGCAATTCAATAAGTTGAATTCATTTCATCAAGAAGTGATTGTGAAATGCTTAAAAGGCAGGAAAGATGAAATTTAGCAGGTCCTGTCAGAGGAAATAACTGGTATCTCCTCTGCACAGCTACAGGATTTCGATTGGCAGTTAAAGCTTGCACTTTCTATGGATAAAATTGCTACATTACAAATGCCACTTTTCAACCGTCATCTACATGTAAAAGAAAACGGTGAAGTCAAACTGTATTCTGTTGGAAGGAGTAAAGAGCTGCAGAATCTGGAAATGTCTTGGCAGCAACTAATAAGGTCATCCTGCATTTGAAATAACGGAAAGATGACTGTCACCAGCATTATCAGATTCCACTGCTATCGCAGAGTGAATACTGTGTGCTCAGAAAACCTGTGACACACTATTATGCCAAGCTGGGAAATCAGCAGTGTTGAGAATACAAAGATAAAAAAATTATCAACTTCTGAAAGAACAGGAAATTACATGGCTCATAGAAAACATAAACATTAAAGATAAAAAGCTATAATAGCAGTCTGTATTTTCATGACTGTTTTGCTTCATTGATTAAATATCTGAGAAATCTTTATATAAAGCTTTACTGAAAATTAACAATAGGCGCTACAATAATGTAAACATACAAAGCACACATAAACTGGAATCTTGCTTTAAGAAGTCTGTGGCTCTGGCCAGGGGATTCAGTTGGATGGAGCATCATCCTGTACACTAGTAGGTTGCGGATGTGGTCCCCGGTTGGAGAGTTAGATGGGAGGCAGCCCATCAATGTTTCTCTCACATCTCTCTCTCCTTTTCTCTAAAATCAATGAAAACATCTTCAGGTGAGGATTAAGGGGGGAAAAAAAGGATGTGAATATCAAGGATGTGTGTTTTCTTTATATGTATATGACTGGACTTATGGTATTTTAAAATAACTTTTAAAGCATGTTCAAAAAATTCCATTTCAAAGAAAAGATTATAAAATGTAAATTCCCTTAGAGAAAGAAGCTCTTCTGAAACTAAATCTGTGTAAATAATTTTGAGTTTATAAATTCTAGAAATGAAAATCTTGTACTGGGACATAGGAAAAAAATGCAATGGGCTACTTTTGTATTTCAAGATCTTGGGAGAGTAGGAACTGAAAAAAGAATATATACCATTGCATAGTGTATATAGTACTATTCAAACATCAGCTGAGACCACATATATCTTTATTTTTGTTATAAACTCTTAATATTGAATTTAACAGTTTTGGATGCTAACTTTATTGGCAAACAGATAATTTTAAATTTCAGCTAATTTTAAAGATAAGCATTCTGAACATAAAAGTACAATTTTATTTCAGCAAAAAATATGTTTACAGTTTTGAATATTCTTTATCATTATTTATTAATTGTATTATTTTCCATACAAACAGCTGTAAACCTACTTTTGCCCCACCCTGTATTATTTCTCCCAATCTCCTAGGAGGATCCAGAATTTAACAGGCATGCCAAATCTACAGCAGATGACTTTAAATGTTGTTTCCTGAAGCAGTACAATCATTTTTTTAATGTATTGCAAGCCTCAAAAAATCTCCAAAGGAGTGCCCACTTACCAGTGAGTTCAACTAACAAAATGGTGATGCATCAGAGTGGGGCAAAATCTCAAAAAATATAATGATAGCTTATCCTTATTATTTGGAGAAGCATTGTATGCTGCACTGTCATATTATTTGGCCTTTTGGAAAATAATGTAATAGCCCAGCTCTGAGACTTTGGAGATGTTAATAACGGTAGCACCAATAGATACTGGCAAGCCATAAACCAAACTCAGTTGTTTGATTTAAATCCCCAAGTGCCTGCAAAGTGTCTGGCTCACTGCCAAGAGACAGGCAGCAGAGGTTGAAACCTGTGCTAAGGTTTATGAGGGCACAAAGATGGAACAGTTTGCGGGGGTCTTCGTTCAGCACTGACAAAGTGGACAGTGCCTTCAGTTCCTGGGAATTATAAAAATGTTTTCAGCTGATGGCCTCCTTTGGCATTGTTAAACCTGAGGATCTTGTTAGTTATTGAGCTCTGAGGACCCACTGGGGAGCTCCGCCCCTAATTTAAAATAGTTCAACTCCGAAAAGTATTCCAGAAGCCACTACCATTTGTTCTGAGATTCTGCAGCTTCTGGAGAAAGGCACAGGTATAGCTACTACCAGGTAAGTAAAGTTGCTGAGTAGGAGAATTGCTCATTAACATGACTGCTGCAGACCTTCTCTCCATGAGGAAGAATTATTCTCCCTTTTCTGTGCCCACTTCCATCTTTTCTCCTCTTATAGATCTCTAACCTCTTTGATAGTCTTCTTCAGGACCTAAGAAAATAATGCCTATTGCACAAGGCTATGCATGAGTTCAATAGTATGTGTTGAAATGAATATCTTAGGATATTCCCAGAGCTCCATCTAGGTTCGCGTGCATAGAGCAATATTTCTATAAAGCGGAACTGTGACATTGAAATAGTTTGTCAAGATTGGCAAGATGTCCTTTTAAAACAGAAAACAGAGCCCAGCCGGAGGTCATGGTTCAATTCCTGGTCAGGGCATATGCCAGGGTTGTGGGCTCAATCCCCAGTGTGGGACATGCAGAAGGCAGCCAATCAATGATTCTCTCTCATCATTGATGTTTGTATCTCTCTCCCCCTCTTTCTTCTTCTCTGAAATAAAAAGTATTTTTTAATTGTTTAAATGTAGCAGTACATATATCCCACACCAAGTGTCTTGTGTCCATTGGTTGTGCTTATATGCATGCATACAAGTCCTTTGGTTGATCTCTTTCCCCTGCTACCCAACACTCCCTAGCCTTCCCACTGTAATTTGACAGTTTGTTTGGTGCTTTCCTGCCTCTGTATCTATCTTTTGGTTCATCAGATTATAATTTTCTTTATTTTACATAAATGAGTGAGATCACGTGGTATCTTTCTTTCATTGCTTGGCTTATTTCACTTAATATAATGCTCTCTAGGTCCATCCATGCTGCTGCAAATGGTAAGAATTCCATTTTTTTTTTTTTTTTATAGCAGTGTAGTATTCAACAGTGTAGATGTACCATAGTTTTCTAATTCACTCATCTGCTGATGGGCATTTGGGCTGTTTCCAAATCTTAGCTATGGTTAATTGTGCTGCTATGAACATAAAGGTGCATATATCCTTTCTGATTGGTGTTTCTAATTTTTTTTGGATATATTCCTAGAAGTGGTATTACTGGGTCAAATGGGAGTTTCATTTTCAGTTTTTTGAGGAAACTCCATATTGTTCTCCACAGTGGCTGCACCAGTCTGCATCCCCACCAGCAGTAAAGGAGGTTTCCTTTTTCTCCACAACCTCCCAGCACTTGTTTGTTGATTTGTTGATGATAGCATTGTGACAGGTGTGAGATGGTACCCGCATTGTTGTTTTGATTTGCATCTCTCAGATAATTAGTGACTTTGAACATGTTTTCATCTGTCTCTTGGCCTTTCTCAGTCTTCTTTTGAAAAGATTCTATTTAGGTCCGTTGCCCATTTTTTTTTTATTGGATCATTTATCTTCTTTTTATTAAGTTGTATAAGTTCCCTGTAGATGTTGGAGATTGAACTTTTATCAGAGATAACATTTGCAAATATGTTCTCCCATGTAGTGGGCTTTCTTGTTGTTTTGATGATGGTTTCTTTTGCTGTACAAAAGCTTTTTGTTTTGATGTAATCCCATTTGTTTATTTTCTCTTTAATTTCCATTGCTTTAGGAGCGGTATCAGTGAAGAAATTAATTTAGCATATGTCTGAGATTTCTCTGCCTGTGGATTCCTCTAGTATTAATAAAAAAATATTTAAAAAAAAAACTAAAATCAAAACAGAAAGCAGAAACAGCATGTTCTGTTTTTATTTGTGGTTGTTTTTTGTTGTTGTTGTTTTTGTTTTTTTCAAATCATGTGGAGAGGTTTTTTAAATTGTGTACATTAAAAGCTCACTATATGTATGTTGAATTCAACAAAATTGACAATTTTACTTTTAAACTGACTAAATTATGTGAGGTTTTTTTTGTTGTTGTTGTTTTGTTTTGAGATTCCATTTTTTTAATAACCAGGCTCTTACTTCAGAAATCTTGCCAGATGCCTGGTCTCTGAGCTGCCTTGTGCAGCAGATAATATTAATGAAATGAGTCCTCACCCTCCTTGACCTGTACAATATACAACAGCCATCTTTGAGGCAAACAAGCAGGACAGAGGAGTTGTCAAAGCCAGGAGTCTACCCCTTGGAGTGCACCAAGTGAATGCAAACTCCTATGTAACTATATAACTATATACACACTCTAGCCACAGAATCACCCAGTCTTCACTTGTGTACAAGGCTAGGCTATTAATAAATCCAGAATAAGAATTCCCATGTCTGTGGCTCAGGAGGCAACCTTTAACTTGCAGGGGTGATTTCTCTCCTAAAAACAAGGTTAAATTAGATGAGCTTAGCCCCTTTTAATTCCGTTCTCCTTACTCCCAAGGCAGTGGCATACCTGGCATCGCTTCTCAAATTCTCCCTTCCCTCCCTTCTAGTAGATGTCACACTTATCAAGGCTCTAACTCTAGGAAATAGCAGAAGCTACAGGCAAGCCAGGAAGATGATGAAGGAAAAGGTCATTACTTTTCAATAATGATGACTTTTTAATCACTACAAGTAGACCCATCATCAGTAAATTATTATTTACTTCCACTTATGGAACATTTATTGCAAGCTAAGGATTCTGTAAACACTTTTAATAATTGTGCAAAACACCATAGGAAAGTCAACAGAAGTATCTGCCCTTGAGCAGCTTAAAACCTAATTACACATTTACACACCCACACATACATAGGGTTCATGAAGGTACATGTATTTGCTTTAGTTTTTCAAAATAATCCTTTTTCTTTCAAGCTCCATCTGCCATTTAAAAGCATTAAGTTCACAGGTTTATGTAAACTATGTTAGTACTCATCTGATTAGTTGTATAGACAATTGTATCAGAAGGAATTATTACAAATTTAGTGCAGAGTAAATAATATCAGATATACACTTTACTTTTAGAGAAAAGTACAAGGATATTTTCCTCTAGAGAATGTAACCTTTTACCTATCATATGAATTCACATGACATACTATAATAACATTAACATACACACATATATAGAAAAATATAGTAAGAATTTCATGGTAGAGAAAGGAGAGCTGTAGATTGCAATCATATACTATTTATCCTAGAATATAATTTGGTTAAGAGTGACTGCAGCAAGAACTAACAGTATAGTATTTAAACCTCCTTTAGTTCTTATACAAACTGGTCTGTGTGACACAATGTTTTCTGTTTTCCTCAGCATCGGTGCCCTGATTGGATTGGGAATTGCTGCTCTTGTTTTACTTGCCTTTGTCATCAGCGTCTGTGTCCTTTGCTATTTATTTCTGCATACAAAGCCTCAAAGATTAGATACTGGCCTTAAACTTCAACACCTAGAGGCTTCTTCCACTCAAGAAGGTAATCAGTACAAATTATTTATAGCCAATTACCTGTACTCTGTTGAAAAGAATAACCTGTACCTGGGTAACAGATGATACTGTTAATGAGTGCTTTTTAAAAATTCAATTCATTATGTTTCTTTGTAGAAATACATGTTAAATTAGGCCTTAATGATGAAACACCATAGAGAAATTGTGCCCGGGGGAAAATAGCAGCAGGATGTAGATGTTCTTGTGAAAAATAATACATAGATCCAATAAATCCTCTTTAAGATATGTATGACTCAGTTACAAAGGTTTTATCTTTTTGAAATTTTTAAATTTTGTGGGTTTTTTGGTTGTTGTTTTTTTTTTTGTCTAAAGTTTTACATATGTCTCCTTTTTCCCCAATTGCCTCCTCCCCACCCACACTTAAGTTTTGTTTTTGATGGAGCCACAGAAATCATATAAAGAAACGACATACCTGATAATGAATTCTCAGTGTTGCATTACTCTAGATTGGTAAGTCCAGTGGTCAGCAAACCATGGCTCCCGAGCCACATGAGGTTCTTTGGCTCCTTGAGTGTGGCTCTTCCACAAAATACCATGTGCGCACACGTACAGTGTGATTGAAACTTCGTGGCCCATGCGCAGAAGTGGGTTTTCTGTCTAGGCAAGTCTATTTTGAAGAAGTGGTTCTAATGCCGAGCCACACTCAAGGGGCCAAAGAGCTGCATGTAGCTTGCAAGCTGCGGTTTGCCCACCTTTGGGTTAGTCAATGGCCAACTAAGCATTCACCTTCACATGATGTGTGCCTATGGTGAATTTGGAGGAGGTGTGCAAAATCAGAAGCATGTAAAAGAAACAGAAAAATAGATGATAGTCCTGTTCTTGAACAGATTATGAACTAGTTAACATATAATGCTGTGTTTAGTGTAACTATAAAGTAGGAAGACATTTTTATGTGTGGCTCATGGAACTGGGTTTCATTGTTACCTCAGTTATGATGTGCTACACAAATGCTAATTATTATTAAGAAACTCAGAAAGAATTGTTAATATTCTGTGGATATAAATTTCTATAAGTGTATTTAGAAAGTAGTAATTATGGTCCTAGCCAGAGTTGCTAAGTAGGTTAGAACATTGTCCTGTGCACCAAAGGATCACAGGCTCAATTTCCAGTCAGGACATATACCCAGGATGAGGGTTCGATTCTGCTTGGGGTGCATAGAGGAGGCAACCAATTGATGTTTCTCTCTCATATTGATCTTTCTCCTTTTCCCTCTCCCTTCCTCTCTGAATCAATAAAAACATATCCTTGGATGAGGACTTTAAAAAAAGTAGTAATCATAAATTGTATTTGAATATATATATATATATATATATAGCATTTTAATAAAAATTTAGAATATACGTATATATATATTTAAAACATGACACACATGTTGACTACCATTTAAAAAGAAAAAGAAAATTTAAAGTTATTTTTTTATTTTAAATTAGAAAATTCTCTACTCATATGCTCTATTTTAGCTGAATCCTGAAGCTCATATGTATGGAGCAGATGCTCTGTAACCTTTCAATCCTCAACTGCCATGTGATTGCATTAGCTCTCTGTGGGGAGCTCTCTCAGGGGTCTTTAGCGTCCTTTTCTAAAGCAATTTCTGAAGTTTGGAGACTGTCTGAAAGACTTGACAGGTTTTCATGGGTTAAACCCTTGTTTTATCCACAGGCAAAATGAAGCAGTGGATTAGTGATTATGGAATAACCAGGTCACATTATCAATTTTTGTCTCAACAGCTTAGATAATGTAAGGTACCAATTCTTAAGTTTTTCGATGCATGAGAATCACACGGGGAGCTTATAAAAACTACAAACTTTAAAACAAATAGCTCCTTTTCTTATCCTTGCTCCCCTGCTGTTGATTGCCCATGCTGGCCAGGCAGGACTGGTCCTTTTTAATGCTGCTGAGAAAGATGGCTTCTGCAGTATAAGGGAATGATTCAGGACAGGGATACTGGTGGCTGACCTCTCAGCTCTCTCCCCAGAGCCACCAACCCGACTCTCCTCATGTAGCTCTAGTCCTGAAGCCCAGGGTGAATGGCTGCAAACATTGTGTGTTGGCCCTTTAAGAGGCATAGACAGAAACCCCAGTGCTTTTCACAGTCAGGTATAATATTATGTAGGCACCTTTCCCAGTTCTGGGGCTTTGGGCTGGGGAACCTACCTCGGAGTTTAGACCCCAGGTTTTCAGGGAGAATCCCCCACAGCTGAGCTGTTCCTCCAGAACTTCAGTTGCCATCACTGGGAGTCTGGCCAGCCGTCTTGTGCCTCCACACTTCCTTGGGTATAGGTTACTCTCCAGCTAGCCTTCAGTAGGTTATTCAGGATGATCTTTCTATGCTCTAGTTGTAATTCCACTTTGGTCCTGGGAGGTGAGTGTAGCTTCCACCTAATTCATCACCATCGTGGATCTCCAACCTCCCATCATTTGTTTGTTTGTTTGTTTAATTGTTGAGAGTATTACAGATGTCCCCCATTCCCATCCTTTTAGCCTCCCCTATTCAGCCCCCACCACCCAGGCCTTCCTCACATTGTTGTCTATGCCCATAGGTTATGCATATATTCAGATATGTTCTTTGGTTAATCTCTCCCATTATTTTAAATTAATTTTTATAATTGAGACATTTTCAGTATAAGCAATTTGCATGGCCTTAAGGGAAATGTATTTTTGTGTACACACTAAAACTGACTTAGGGCACTGGATTTTTTTTTTTTTTTTTTTTTCTATAAATGACAGTAAGTTAAAAATAATCTAATCTTAAATAATTTGCCAAGATTTTTTCTTTCTGTATTTTTATTCTATTTGTTTTCTTTTTTTTTTTCAATGTATATAGTTTAAGGCTTAATACATTTTCAATTGATCCTGAGAGAAGCTGGTCTCTGGCGGTGACTATAGCGTTTAATTGGGCTACCTCCAGAGCTCACTCTGTGCGGAGATCCTATTTCTAAGCAATTGATTGCCTTTAAATTGTGTGCCATAACCATTTCTTCCTTTTTGACTTTTGTATTTTAAATAATGCATGTTTCAAATGCCAGCTTTTGAAAGAACAGCAAAGCTTGTAAATAACACTGTAAAGATGTACAGTTCTGAGCAGAAGATGCCTGTGTTACGGGCATCTTTCTGAGTAGACACTCCTGAGGGTGAAGGCTCATTTGAAAACATATGGAAAAGAAGGGATTCTTACCATTTGCAACAGCATGGATAGATCTGGAGAGCATTATACTAAATTATGAGCACACTTATGAGCCTAACCAGTGGTCAAGGACAATAGGGGGGTGGAGGCATGAGTGTGTGTGTGTATGTGTGTGTGGGGGATTAGAATGGGGGTTTGAGGACAAATATGTGATACCTTAATCAATAAAGAAATTAATTAAAAAAATAAAATCTATATATAGTATAGCTTAAAAAAAGATAAATGCCACATGATCTCACTCATTTATGGATAATAAAGAACATTACAAAATGTTGAACAAAAATAGACAGAGGCAAAGAAGCATCAAGCAACTGTCAAACTACAGCGGGAAGGCAGGGGAGGGTTGAGGGCCGGTAAGAGATCAACCTAAGGACTTGTATGCATGCATACAAGCACAACCCACAGATGCAAGACACTAGGGGTGGAGGGGGGATGGGGAGGAGGCAGGCGGGAGAGGGTGAGTAAGGGAGTCCAGAGGGAGGTTAAAGGTGGGGGGAGGGAAAGAGACATATGTACTGCTATTTGTAATACCTTATACAGAATTTTAAAAAAATAAAGAAAATGCTTCAAAAAGAAAAGAAAACATGTGAAAGAATTAATAACTAGTAGAGGAGCAAGAAAAGAGGCGAGAGACTTAGATCCCTGCTTCTCAAACTTTTCCATTGGTGAATCTTTGAAGGTCAATAAGAGAGGAACTTATGCCTCCAGAATCACAAGGGCTAGAGGGGAAAAGCCTGCTTAAGCCTTATGAGCTTTCAATTGTTTGAAGTTATCCACTTCATTTTTTAATTTATGGAAAATTTCTATTTGCATAATGTAATGGCTGGCTTTACTCTAATAATACCTTATTTCCAGATCTGAGTAAAATTGATGCTCCAGGATATTCACTCTGTGATTTTGAGTGCCCATTGACACCCTGCAGCTGTGGAAAGGGGTGGAGGATAGAGGAGAGGCATTCTTAGGAGCAGAGTTTTTGATGAAAATTAGAAGGCCGATATTAGCAGGGGTGCCTGGTACACATAAATAATATAGTTGTACGGGAATAATAGACAACGCCAGGCCTCTATTGGATGATTTCTTTTGTAAAGGCAGGTGATGCAAATGAAAAAGGATAAACAAATCAGCGGTAAGACAGAGTTGTCTAGGAGAAAAACTTAAATTATATCTGGAGTACTGAGAAAGAAAGCAAATTGAAGATCATATAATCATTTATTCTGCCTGTGAACAAAATAGGACTTACACTGGCTCAGAATGAGCTATTTTTTCTTTTTAGAAGACACCCTTGCTCCTGAGTTAAAAAACAAAAAACAAAAGCAACAACTCACTTCACTTTAATTGTAGGAAAATTAGAAAATATAGAGAAACAAACAAATATCATCCATGATCCCACCATACAAAGATAAAAGATATTAAACATGGTAAATATCCATGGATTTTTTTCTTTGCATCTAAAGACATATATAAAAAAAAATGGGGAGGGGGTAAGTCTTATAATAACATGCTTTTTTTTTTCACTGAATAATACCGATATCTTCGTTTACCAGTAAATAAATACCTTTGCCATAATTTTTAATGGTTACATTGTATTGTAATGCCCAAGTGTCATAAACCCCAAAGACTACCAGGGAGCCGAATCCGATGCAATTGCAGAAAGCCTGTATTTATTTCGGACTAGTCCCAGCTCAGTCCCACTTACACTAGCGAGGGCTCGGCGAGAAAGAGAAAGAATTTAACATATCAATGGGTTTTATAGGGAGGGTGGTGCCACTACCTTGGCTGACCTG